CACTGGAAGGGACTTCTGAAATGTAGGACACCTTATCTCATTAGTTTCATTCAATATTACTTGCTTGTTCTGTTACTTTCCTATGCTTTAATTTTGGATGCTGCACTTGATACATCATTACGGGGATCCAGTTTTCAGAGCAAGGGTGGTCATCTTCTGCAAGGTCTGTCTCCAGGTAGCTTCCAAAAAGAAGACGCTTTACCTGGTAATTGCTGTTAAACAATTTCTAGCAGCATTTGCCTTGTAAAATTCTGATACATAATCCTGATTCATAGAAACACAGAAGGATGTACGGGTCTGAAAAATAAAAGCTCTATACAGTTCCCAAGAATATTCCTTTCTGATTTGAGGACGATTAGGGTCTTCTGTCTAATTATAGGCATTTTCCTGGGGGGAAAAAAAAGAATGGGAATGGATTCCAGCCACAGTTTCCATTCTGATATTACAAAATATACTCTGGTGTTTATGCATTGCGGTGTGTGTGTGTGTGTGTATATATATAGTGTTGAGCTATTCTCTGTCCTTCCTCTCTTTGCGGCACTATATAACTTCATTCATGTGTTTATACACTGCGATTTATGTCATGACTGGGGTTTACCAATTCCTGCAGTTATCTTATTTTGCCCTGCTTATGTGGAGAAGCTCAACATTGTTCAGTTTTGGTAAAGACTGAAAATCTACTTAGTGATTTTTTTCTGATTTTTTTATCTTTTGCCTTGAAGATAAAATATGTTTTTATCAATGCAGCGTGAAATTGAAATAAGAAATTTGCATTACATGTTTGGTGCATAAAATCATTCCTACCAGAACAATTCTGTATTAAGGGTTTCTTCTTTTAGAGGTGAAAAAACCCAGCTTATCATAACTGCACATACTCCCTGGAGCAGGTATCCAGGTAACCATCCTTTCAGGGGACAGGTGGGAGGCTGTAAGCTTTTTTTTTTTCATTTGATGAGGAAAATAGTCCCTAGCTCCAGTTAAAATAAATCTGAAGATACAAATTTAACAAATCCCTCTCAGCCTTTTAACAAGAATGAATGTTTAAAATCTCAGGTTTATCATTAAGATTGCATAATATATGCACTCCTGTCAAATTATACTTTGTATTGAACATTTGGAACAAACGAGGCTAGTGAGAGGGTGAGACAGCACAGCTATTTCTGGGTTTTCGTTATAGAATTATGAAGATGAGTTTCTTGGAAGCATTTTTAAAACATGATTTTCAGTGACAGATTGCAAACTTACTTTCTTTCCTCTTATTTGTTATGCAGTTTAGTTTCCAAACCAATCCATCAATACACAGATAAAGCTGAAATAATGATTCAGAAGATGCCTTGTGTTATGCCAAGCTTATTGCAGAGACATATTACTCATTACCAACCCAGAGCACATAAACATGGCAATTCAACTAGAGATATGCAGCTGTTTTGGTCTTCAGAGCAGACTTTATGCTATCTAGTGCTAATAGTACTCTCTGCAAGATCTTTAGAGACATATTAATTGTGCAGTTATTTCATTCTGTTTTGGAGAGCAATTTTCAGTATTTCAGACTTATTTTTTTCAGTTTAAATTTTCAGTTTAAAAAATACAGTAGGAAGCACAATTTGGAAAAAAAAAAGAAAGAAAGAGTAAATTAGCACTCAGGTGTAATTATTATTATTGTGGAGTTTTTTTGGTTAAAGAGTGAAAAAACACGATTGTGTACCATTTCATTTCTGAGGATGATACTAAAAGGCATAGATGGATAAGCAAGACAATCTACAACATACCTTTTGAAACATTACACCAATACAATGTTAGATTAAATCCTCCGGCAATTTCTGAACTTTTGGAGTCATTGTTATTAATATTTTTGTTTTGATCCTTTAAACTGGTGTTCGACAGGCAACAGGGTATAGTGTACTGTATCTTAATATTGCACTGCTAGTGTAGAGCTTCCTTATTGAAGTTAATCATTCTGTTACACACATCTTTCTATTTGCAATCGCAGCATACTCCAGATTGCCTTCGTGTGCAAGCCAGGACATAAATGTGTGTTGATACTAGAAGCTCGTTAACCCTGCAGACCTTCATCCATAGTGTGTGTGTCTCTACATGAGTCAACAAGATTCTATGGATACTCAAAATATGTTGAAACCATATGAGCAAAATGTGTATTTTCCTCTGGCTAATAAAACTCAGTCACAAAATCCTCATAGACTTATAATATGTAGAATCCTACCAACTTGGCAAGTAAATTTTTTATTAAAACATACTCTGGCTGTGTCTGCACACTGCATTTAAACAAAATAGGAGCATTTTCCTCATGTCAGGTATCGGATTGACAGCTGGAGACTGAAATATTTTATTCAGCAGGTTGAAGCGAATTTTTGACTTGATCAGTGCCCTTCCTAGGGAAGAACGTTAGTTCAAAATTTGTCCCTCATGCAACTTTTATGAGAAAGGATGAGAGGAAGAGTAGGAGGGAGGAACTTTATATTGCCTTCTAAAGTATAATGCCCAAATTAACCATTAATATCAATTCACATGTTAATTTCTTTTGGGAGGAATCAGTGATTCCTTTAAAGGGAAGTAGTCTGAAGACTACTTCTTTTTTAATGAGAATTTTCTAAATTTCTCAGATATTCATTATGAGGCTAGATATAGGTGTTACATATAATGTCTTTCAGGGAAGGGATCTTGATATGAAGATGTATATCAGCATTTGTGAGTTGATTTTTTTATTATTATTTTTTGGTAAGTTGATGCCTTCAATTTCAAATTCAGTTTAGAGACAGGACTTACTGTCTTAATAATGGTGGGAAAAGCTAACATTATGGCTAGGTTTTCCAGTAGGTGTTTCAGTGCCTATCCTCAGCATAGGAAGCACCTGACGTAATAGCTCTTGATCTTCTCACATACAGTGGCCTTTATCTTCTCGAACAGATCTTGTTTGATTCTGCCATGCGCTTCGTAGCAAGTAGCAGCTCAGCTGTTGCGCTGCTGAACACTGTTATGGTTGGTTGCGTCTAGCTTTAATTTCTTCTTCTGTCCCTTGTATCACAGAAACATTGGGATTGGAAGGGACTTCTGGAGATGATGTAGTCCAACCCCCCTGCACAAGGAAGGGTCACCTGTAGAGGACATTGCACAGGGTCACATCGAGGCAGGTTCTGCGTATCTCCAAGGAAGGAGACTCCACAACCTGCCACACGCTTGTGACCTGCTCGTTTAGGAAGTTCTCTCTCAGATTGAGGTTGAACTTCTTGTGTTTCAGTTTGTGGCTGATGCCACTTGTCCTATCACTAACCATCACTGAAAACAGCCTGGCTCTTTCCTCTTGACACCCTCTCTTAAGATATTTTTACATATTGATAAGATCCCCTCTCAGTCTTCTCCACTTGAAAAAGGCCCCCAGCTCTCTCAATCTCTCTTCATAGGAGAGATTTTCCAGTTCCTCAGCTGTTTTCATAGCCCTATGCTGGACTCTCCAGTAGCTCCATATCCGTCTGGCACCAGTTAGGCCAGAACTGGACACACTCCTCCAGAGGCTGCTCACCAGGGCTGAGGAGGGGAGGATCAGCCCCTCGGCCTGCTGGCAGCGCGCGTCCTAGCGCTCCCCGGGATGTCTTTGGCCTTCTTGGCCACAAGGGCCCCTTGCTGGCTCATGGTCAGCCTGTCCAACAACACTCCCAGGTGCTTCTCTGCAGAACTGCTCTTCAGCAGGTCAGGCCCTGGCCTGTACTGGTGCATGGGGTGATTTCTCCCTGGAAGCAGGACCTTGTACGTGCTTTTGCTTTCACATGGAGATTGTATTCTTGTTATTTTTGTATTCTGATACCTTTTCATTGTTATTTCTCATTCTGTCCCTCTTTCTCTGCCCAAGTCTTTGGCCTCTGTCGTATTCGCTGGGGATTCCCATCTAGCATCATATGAAAGGCTGTTGGAGTTCACAGCAGAAATGCTGGGAGGGGGCTTCAGTCACTCTCCCTTTGCAACCTGCTGATGTCTAAAATAGTGTTAAGAAGTAATAGAAATGCAAAAGAAGAATCTCTGGTGCCTTTAAATGTTGCCTGTGCCTAAATTTGTACTATTATTATCTGCTTAAACTTCAGCAAAACAGGAACAGTTAAGAATGTATTATTAAATTTCAGAGTGTTTCCTGGAGAGTAATTGTGAATATTAGTTATGAAGTGTAGTTAATTTATCTGAATGGATGTCATCTACAGCAAAAAAGTTGCACAAAATTACCAGCACCAGAGTTTAGTTTTGCCTTTTGGCCCCACATTATGCACTTAAAATCCTGATATAAATAACTCATGCAATGAAATACAGAGAATAGCTTTCCATCCCAAAGGAGCCAACGAATCTTGATATTTATTGTCTACAGGTTTTTCTCCTGCTTTTTAGAGAAGACCATATTCAATCAGAGAATATAATTCTAATTATTTTTAATTTCATATATATATTTTAAACACATCTGTCTAATTAGGGCATTATTTTGTTTTTATGGTCCGTGTTTGTTTTCAACAGAGTTATGTTCTTGTCAAGCTGGCAATATAATAAGAGCGAATTTACACTGGTGTATAACCAGACTAATCTAGAGGAACATCTGACTTTTTGTTTACAGTTATATTAAAATATTTACAAATATGTACAAGTACCGTGATCTTATATTTTCTGTATAAAATGCTATCCCAGAAGTGTTAGAGGGCATTGAAATACATGGAAAACAGAAATGATTAACCAACATCAAAAAGAAGGGCCGCAAGTTAATAGATAGTGGCTATACACTAATATTTCTGCAAGATTTCCGCTTTTATTCCATTGATAGAAAAGACACTGGAACTAATTTTTGCAGTCCTGGAACAGGAGGTGGAAGGGCAGCTCAGATGATAGCAGTGTAGCACTGTACAGACAATTAGTTGTCACTCTTCATGATAGTTGCTTAGGATTATTGCTTGTCATGGAAACAAACAGTGTAAGGGAAGCATCTGCCGGTTCATTACCAGCAGGATTCCATGAGATATGCAATGCTGTACATTTCTCTTGTAATACTGCTTTTTTCTTGTCAAAAGTGTGCAGTTCGTGCAGCCACAGAAGGCAGAATCCTTGTGCTGGAAGGTTTGGAGAAAGCCGAGCGCAACGTCTTGCCCGTGTTGAACAATTTGCTGGAGAACAGGGAAATGCAGCTGGAAGATGGTCGTTTTCTCATGTCTGCAGAACGTTACGACAAACTTTTGCAGGTATGGAAGGGACATTTACCTTTTCCCTTTTTGTTTTCCCATTTTGATAATGCTGTTTGGTTGGAGTCATCATGGGGAAAATGGGGGAAATCTCAGGAAAGTGCTGATGTTTTTTTCTAGAGTATGACATGGGATTGAATTAGCAAGGTAAAAGTTATGGAAGAAGCCAAACATTTCTTTAATGATCACAACTTTTTTTTTTTTTTGCTTTGGTATCTCCTTTGTTCGCATCAAAAAGAGTAGGCTGGATTAAATTGTGTGAAAGCTACTCTGAGTTATCTAACTGTGACCTGAAGTTCCAAGTGTTCCCATGAAATTCAGATAATGCTTTAGCATTGTAGGACTCTCTGCAAAGCTTTTGAAATGCTAGGATACTAAAAAAGAGAAAAAAAAGATTGTGATAGGAGATGCTATATTCCTCAGTGCTGTCTCATCTTTAATTAATAAAAGTATAGGTAAATAGCAATCTTAAATTATAGGAAAGATGTGAAACTTATCTTTTGAGAAGAAATGGTATTTTAGTTTCTGCTATTGTTGCTACATTCATCATATTAATGTTTTCCAAGTTTCTGGTGCTGCTGCTTAAATGTGAGTTTAATACTTTTAAAACTTCTGGAGACCTTGAAAACTTTCAGCAGAGTTTTCTGTAGTGTTCTTTATCTTACTGTCATGTGCTGTAGTTGTCTGTCCAGTAGCTGTGTCTTATATACCAGTGTGACCCCTGCTCACCCAGATCTCGGTCTGTCTTACCCAGCTGTGGTTACGTGTGTGGTTCAAGCCAATGTGTCATAGAAAGTCAGAGGAAGAAAATTTGCCGTAAACCTTCTGCCACTAATCCTGATTTTATTAAATTATCTGCCGTCCCATTAAGTACTGTAGTGGATTTTTGCAAATATTTTCATTATTCCTTATTATCCTCCTTTGAGGTTACAATTCTCCCGATCCATGCCTTTTCCACAAAACATTTTTATAATATTTAATTAATAGGTATAATTGTTGGAAGCATTATTATTATATTTACAGAATAAGCTTTTAAAATGTAATAACATTTAAGGACAGGATTTGGTTGTGGTTATGTAGGGCATCTTCCTCTCTTTTCTTTTTAGCACTTTTGTAATGATAAAATATTTCAAAATGAGTGCCTCAAGCACACTGATAATAGTAGATGAATTAAATACATTTCTTGCTGTGATACTAAATCTAATATTGTTTTGATGTTTGGGGAATATTTTATTATATAAGCTAATGTTCATTTTCTCTTCTCCCGTGTGAATAATTACTCTAGAGCTTGGTCTGCAGGAAGTATTCTTGTAGTTTCAGGAAAGACTTGACTGTAATGTGACTAAAGGATGCCTGTTTTATATGCATTGAATCTTTGTGGCAAAGATTGAATAAACACCAAATTAAATGTATTTCTCATGAAGGAATCTAATTCTGTGTTGCTCTGCTTGTTTAAAGCATATTTTTTTTATTCAGACTAGAGTTGTCTTCACATTCATAAGTAGAAGAAACGAAGAAATGGTTACATCTCTTATGTTTTAAAATAAAAATTGTAGTCTCTTTATTATTTGTTTTTTGCAAAAATGAGCGTGTAACATTTTTTTCTGAAATTTGAACAGCTATGGGGTCTTTGGGCATACGACGGCTGAAAGCTACACCTAACTATTTTGTCTACCTTCATCTGAAAACTTTGCCTGTATGATCTGCAAATTTGAGTAGCTCAGCACTTTCTTGCTTTGCACATTTTGCTTCAAGAGTCAGTTCATGTATGCAGTTCAGCCATCAACGGTTTTAATGATTTTTTTCATTCTTGTTACTGTATTTTGCCTATTTAGGATCATACAAAAACAGAGCTGGATGCATGGAAGATTGTTCGGGTTAGTGAAGATTTTCGAGTAATAGCTTTGGGTCTGCCAGTACCTAAATATTCTGGTAACCCTTTGGATCCTCCCCTTCGCTCTAGATTTCAAGCTAGAGATGTTTATCATCTGCCCTTTAAGGTAAGTATCCTTGCAGAAAAGTTGGATCTTATGTACTGAGTAGAACTAACAAATATTTTGACGTTACATTCTACATGCTTCAACTCTGAAAAGAATCTTTAGGTAATACCTTGATCTTAAAGGGCATTGTTCATATGGCTACCTAATAAATTCCTGAAAAGCAGGATTAGAGTTGGCAGGGAATGCTACAGCAGAAAAAAATAGCTTCTATAAAATAATATAAGCCTAAATTTGATAATGTGGTACTTCTGTAAAATTAATTCTGTGTAAAGGAGTGGTGGGTAGATTCTTCATGTCTAAATTAAAGGAAAAATAGAAAATGCATCATGAGCCATGACCCACAGTATGACCTCCAAAAATTAATTTACTGTGTGATGTTATGTTCTATTTTCAGGACCATCTTCAGCTATTATATTCAATTGGATCAAACATTTCTACAGAGAGGTAATCTTTCATAATAAAAAAAAAAGAAATGAATGAAGGAATATGATGTCCTTTCAGGATTCCTTGCTATTTTTGTTACTTCTATCACTGCATAGATACCAGAGCTGAAGAAGTTTTTTAATATGTGTGGGTGTTTGCTCGAACGGCTTTTCATATGCAGCCTTCATATAATGAATCCTTAATGCTTTAGAACTTCAATCACACATACGTCAGTTATTTGTGCTCAGAAATAGTTCCAGCATCGTATGCTGGGTTTAGCTTTTTATGCTTTCGTAATTTAAATATACTTGGCAAGTATAAATCTCTGTAATTACTTTTTTTTTTTTTCTATGCAGAGTTTCTCAGCTCCTGTCTTTTGCTACAACTCTCTGCTCTCAAGAATCTTCTACGCTGGGACTTCCAGATTTTCCTCTAGACAGCCTATCGGCTGCGGTTCAGATTTTGGTATGTGCATACACTTGTGCTGTGAAACTGTATGAACTTAGAATTCCTCAGAATTAGAGCTAGACTGGTTATGTCTTCAGAAGAAGATTAACATGAACATTAAAAAAAATTACGCATAAAAATAGGGGTGGTTTGGCTTGAGTTTCTCATTATACATGATATAATATTGAAGGACAAAGCATGATATGACACGAGATTTGTTGTGTCATGTATTGTGTGTGAGCATTCAACGGAATGATTGTGTTGTATATCTCACCTTACTCCGGGCATCTGCAGTTTGTCTGATGATGCTGTTACCGTCGTCTAGGCCACGTATTTAGGAAAATGAGAATTAGAAATAAGTGTGTGATAGGAATGTGACTTTTCCATTTTAATATTACACATGCAAACTGGATTAATCACATACCCTAGACACCTATTACTCTCCACTGACACCTAGGAGGACCAAAAATAACTGGTTCGAATGTGGATATACCTGAGTTAGAGGCACTTAAGTTGTGTGAAATGAATCACACAGCAGGACTTTCAATTGATTAAACATTGACATAGGGAGCAATCTGAAGATGCAGCTTGTGCATACTTGAAAATACAATTCTTGCTGGCAGCTGCTGTCCATAGGGAAATACAACAACTGTCTGCTAGGTTCACGATGGCAGGCCAGGTCCATTGCCATGGCACTCTTTCTGCTTTCGCTGTCAGCCTTTTATCCCTCGTTCTTCGCAATTACTTTGTAAAAACTCAAAGTAGAGAAAGAAGTTCCCTCCTGAAAAAAGTCAGTAAGATGATGAGATTTGTATAAAGGGAGATGTATAAAAGATGACGTATCCTTTTACAAGTGGGAAGAGGTTGTCAACCCAGGAGGGTAAGATATTAGAACAGCTTCTTTTGAACCCCCTCTCCAAGGTGTAGTTGTCTGCAAAAGGGCTTCTAGGATAGTTTTTATCTCCTCTGCAAGCATTTTCCTTGCAGTACTGCTCATTTGAAGATTGCTTCTACATATTTACTGGGTTGCACACATTGAAACACATTTATTACTTGTTTTACTGTTTTGCTTTGTCCCCAAGTTGTGTTCTAGAAAGACATTGTGCCCGATGCGCTACAGACAGAATTTTTGTTTGACCTAGTTTTGTTGTGTCAGATACTATGAAGTGCTTAAAATTCAAGTACAGAGAAAAGAAACAGTATTTGAAGGGCTTTAGGAAAGAAATACATGTTGGATTTTAAAATAAATTGCAACTTTTTATTCTTTGAGGCCTGGAGTGAGAAATTATTTTTAAATGAATGCCAGATGGCTTTTAGAGTAATGGAAATAAAATGAGCCCTAAGCTATTATCTAAACTATGGAATGAAGTATTTTATTTTATATTAGACAATGTAAAGTGTTATCTTTCTATGACAGTGGCTTTTATATATAGACCAGAACCGTTTCTTTTAGAATTAGTTTTAATCACTCAGTTTTCTAAACTGATCTTTCTCATTCATTCTAGTTTAAGCATTTTTTCTTCATGAGCTGGGTCATTGCCATCCTTTAATCGAGCTAGGATGATTTTAACCATTTAACAGTATGGAAATAATATATTGCAATGACTTTTTCCTTGTCTTCCATTCCAGATTTACACTGTCCCAGAATGCTTCATTTATATACTTTTTTTTAGATTAAAAACACCTTCCTCCTAAAAGAGAGATTTTTTTTTTCCTATGGAGCTGTTCTAAAAAGAGGCTAATTTCAGATTAGAATTATAATTATTATTTGAAATAATATAGACAAATGATATGTTTTGTCTTTATGTATAGACAGAGGTTTTTTAAAATGCAATAAAGGGCTCTCTGATCCCTTAAGCAGTACATTCACTAGAATGCCCTTAAATGGGTTATTTTTACTGATGGTTCTTTAAATGGAACATTATAAATAGTATTCCTGATTGCAAGTGCGAATTGAGTTATGCATTTCATAAAATATGTATCTCCTGATTTAATTTCAAAGCAACTCTTCTTTTTTTCAGTTGGGTTTCTATGTATTTTTTTTTATTGTAAATTTGTTGGTTTTATTTGGATTATATGATATCCTCTCTACTTGCTTTGGTGAATTCTTAAAATAGTACCAGCGCACTGACTAGTTGTTTTTCACTACTGTTATGCATAATTTAGTCATTAATAATTTTTTTTTCTAAAACAAGAGATTGAGCATGATTTCATGTTGTTTGACATTTTTCCCCTCCAAAGAACAGTTTAGGCATGTAATATTTCCGGCATATTAGTGGATGCATGGATGGTACATCCATTCTTTCTAATACCTTGGTAATCACAGAATGGTTGAGGTTGGAAGGGACCTCTAGAGATCATCTAGTCCAACCGCCCTGTTTAATCAGGGACACCTAGAGCATGTGGCACAGGGTGGCATCCAGGCGGGTTTGGAAGATGTCCAGAGAAGGAGACTCCACAACCTCTCTGGGCAGCCTGTTCCAGGCCTCTGTCACCGAGTGGAATCCATGTAAAGTGGAATCCATGTCTCATTCAAGCAGTAGCGCCAAGAGAACTACCACTTCAATTACCAGGCAGATACAAAGAGCTGTGCATAGGAAAGTGCAAGCCTACCTCGTAATGTTTCAGAGTAAAACAATTTTGATCAAACTGCTCAGAAATTTTTAGAAATTGACTGTGTGAGTTTTATTATCATATGGTCCATTTCTAGTAGTACTGTGAAATTCAGTTATCTGTGGTGGGATCCATCTGTTCTAAGCTTCGAGGTCTTCAGGTATCTGGGCAATTACCAAGGATTCTCTTTATGTGCAGGGGAGTGAGTCACTTCTAGGGTGCAGTTCACTTGACCTGCTATAGACATTTACATTATAAGGAATTGTGCCTCAGAAATGTCTTTTTTTGAGGTTTGAACATTAACTGGATGCAGTGGTCATTTGTATATTGCCATTATATTCTTATATATGATTTTCAGATTACTAACTGAAGAATGTGTCTTTTTTAAACTATTATTTATATTTTTATTTTGAATTAGGATGCTTTTCCTATGATGTCAGTCCAGCATATTATTGACCGGCTTTACCCCTATAATATTTTTCTTGGAAAGGAAGGCAGGACTGCAGTCAAAGATACATTAAAAGTAAGTATTGTGCATTATGATTCCAGCAAGCAGTGGCTTCTGAAAATAGTTCTCTTAACTAGTATTACTTCATTATTTCAGGTTAAAAAAAAATTTAAATAGTTACATTGTTGCTGATATTAAAACAGTATTTTACAAAAATCTGAGTAAGCTGAGAGATTTCATTATCATGAAAGGGCAGAGCTTTATGTTCTATAGAATGTTTAGACCTCAGTTCAAGAGGAGATTAAAGACCTTTATGATATAAATATTTGATTAACTTAAAGTAGCTACTTTAGTGGCTTTATGTAGTTAAGATAGGTGCTTAAAAATACCTTCTGTCCCTTGGGTTTTAAGAGGAGATATTAAAATAATAATAGAGATCCGATAACATGAAATACATTCAGTGTAGCATGGTCCATACGTCATAGTAGTCTCTCTCTAAATTGCTCTCTTTAGAGCTCTTTTAGAGCAATTTAGAGAAAACTTCAGCATTTTCTTGTTTTTCTGTTACCCCATTATCTGTTCAGCTGTTTTTTTTTCCATGTTTATTAGTAGCTTATCAACTTTGCAATTATGTTATTCTGTTTATCCTTTAAAACTTGAGCACAATGTTAGCTTTCTTTCATCTTTTAATGTATTGTAGAAGTTGCTAAAAATTAGCATTGTAACCCTGAGCACCTTGCCCAGATTTTCCAGCACTGTAAGTCAGAAGTTATTTATACCTGCTGGGTACAGAGGTGGAACTTTGGTCTTCCTGAAGTCAACCCTACGTGCCCAGGAAATGTTTGTAGCCTGTCCCTGTGCCCATCTCCCATACCCTGCTTTTTTGCCTTGAAAGCAAAAAAAGTGGGATTTTGGTTCATGGCATTTTGGTTCTCACATCAGTTACATATAGTGCATGTCTTCACATTCAACCTCATTAGTTTCCTCTATTTTGCATTTCTTATATTGAATTTTACATTTCTTATATTGAATTTTACATATTGTGAATGCATTTGATTCCTGTGTAAGGTTTCTTTGTAGGTTGATATGACTGGTAAAACGTTCTTTTTCAACGATTATTGAGTTTGTGACTTCCTCCCTGTTATTTATATTTTTCTCTTTTGCCTTTTTTGATATTCTTTCTTCTTCCTCCTCTTACATAAACTTGTTCCCTTTATGTCACCAAATACATGTATTTTTGTTTGGAGTTTCCTTCTATTGGAGTTTCCTTTCCTGTCCAGAGGGACCTGGACAGACTGGACAACTGGGCAGTGAAAAACCTCATGCAATTCAGCAAGGCCAACTGCAAGGTTCTGCACCTGGGGAGGAATAACCCCAGACACCAGTACAGGCTGGGGACTGACCT